TGATTTTACTCAGAGGGAGCTCCTTGTTTCTTGTCCTGCATGTCAGTGTGGTCTGACAGCAGTCTCCAGGGCCCGGCCCGTGATAGCAGGTCACGTTACCTCAGCGTATCCTTGAAGTAGCCATGCAACCAGACTCCAGCCTGGCCGCCTCCTCCTGATAGCTCTACAGGTAATTGCATTTGTAGTCTGAGGACATCTGTGTCCAGCAGATCAGCCCCAGGCCCCTGAATTCTGAAGTGCTTAATCAGAGCACCGGGAGAGTGGCTGTCCCCAGGGCCTGGCCACTGGCTCCCCAGTTCTGCCTTTCCGACGAGAAACAGAGAAGAGTTCACTGGGCTGAAACGTGTCCAGAAAAGAAATCGGACCTGCCGGCATGAGCCGCTGTGTCCACGATCGCAGATGATCTCATTTCACTGGACACGTGTTGGTGCTTTGAATTTGTTAGAGGGCCGTTCGGCCCTTGTCTCGAAGGCGGTGACCCCATGGTCTGATATTGGGGGGAAATGCCTTGGAGCTGTGATATTTCAACTCTGTTCACTGGCCTCCTGGTGTAAGCCGCCAGGTGGCCCCCTTCCTCCAGACTGATAGTCCAGTGCCCTCGAGTGTCTGACATACTGTTTTGTGTATTTTGAGGACCTTTTGAAAATCCTTGGTTAAAAATGTGTTGGCCACAAAGACTCCCTATTTTGCACTAGGGGGTTTCTTTCCATATAAAAATTAATATGTAATATTCTGTAGGCTTTTAGAACTGAGGAGAGTAGAATTAATGTCTATCCCTGCATCACCAAATTCAGGGCCTCCGTTTTCTAAGCACACATTAGGATAGGAGTTTCCAAGTAAAACGCAGGCCTCATTTGTGATCACCGGGCGGATAAGAGTTACTGGCATTGAGCAGCTATTGTATTGCTATCTGAAAAGACACCCGTAAAGTGTTAAAATATTGTATTTGTGATAAAGGGTCCTTGACTCTTTACTTTAAGGGGCAAATGTAATCAGCAGCAGAAGTGGGGCTTCTTTGCAAGGAGGCCTCGTTGGAGAGGGAAGGGGAGGCGAGCTGTGGCCAGGGCCTTGGAAAGCGAAGCATTTCACAAGGTAGGTTCCGTAATGAGCTTAGTTGTTGCGTCTCCGGAAGGGCAGCCTTTGCTAACCACCTCCACTCCGTGGCTGCTCCTTCAAGTCGACGCCTGAGACTTCCTGCTTTAAGCAACAACAAAATCACCAGAAGGAAGAAAAAAATAAGACACTCTTTTCTCTAAAAATAAAAAGGTTGGAAGTATCATTTCAAGGAATCTTTTTCTGTTGGTGGAGATAAATGTCTTTTAGAGTTCAGTTTTAAGGCAAAAGGGTTGATTGTATTTTAACTAACAGCCTGAAGTGCTACTGGCTAGTTTAGATATAGAATTTGTTATTCAAAGATGTTGTTTTTTTGTAGTTGTTTTTGACCCTAACATACTATTTTTAATAAAAAACAAAATAGTTTTGTCAGTTAAATAGGCGATACCTATAGCAGTGCGGGTTAACCAACTGCTTAATCTTATCTAATGTGAACACATATATTTTGGAACTTGATGTCAACAGGTGTTTTTTTCTTTATTTTTTATAGAGTTTCTCATTCCTATGATCTTATTATTTATTTATTTTAAATCTTTATTGTTGGATGTAAAATGTATTACAGATGTTCCTCATTTTCCCCCCATTGGTCCCCTCCTCCCACTCCGCCCCCCCCCCCACCTTTTCCCACACTGTTGTTGTCTGTGTCCATTGGTTATGCATATAAGTTCTTTGGTTTATTTCTTCCCACCCCCCCCCAACCCCTTTCCCTTTGAGGTTTGTCAGTCTAGCAATGAATTTGTGCTTCTTAATCCCTTCACCTTTTTCACCCATTCCCCCAACCCTCTTCCCAACTGGCAACCAACAAAATGTTCTCTGTATCTATGAGAATGTTTCTGTTCTGCCTGTTCATTTTGTTTGTAGATTCCATTGTCAATAGATATGTATTCATTGCCATTTTGTTTGTTCTTATTTTTTATCTTTTTCTTCAAAAAACCCTTTATCATTTCATATAATAACGGTTTGGTGGTGATGAACTCCTTTAGCTTTTTCTTGTCTGGGAAAGTTTTTATATGGCCATCGATTCTAAATGACAGCTTTGCAGGATAGAGTAATCTTGGGTGTAGGTTCTTGGTTTTCATCACTCTGAATATTTCTTGCCACTCCCTTCTGGCCTGCAAAGTTTCTTTTGAGAAATCAGCTGACAGTCTTATGGGAACTCCCTTGTAGGTAACTAACTGCCTTTCTCTTGCTACTTTTAAGATTCTCTCTTTGTCTTGAACCTTTTGCATTTTGATGATGATGTGTCTTGGTGTGGGCCTCTTGGAGTTCATTTTGTTTGGGACTCTCTGTGCTTCCTGGACTTATATGTCTGTTTTCTTCATCAAGTTAGGAAACTTTTCTGCCATTATTGTTTCAAATAGGTTTTCAATTTCTTGGTCTCGCCCTTCTCCTTCTGGCACCCCCAAGATGCGAATGTTGGCACGCTTGAATGTGTCCCAGAGGCTCCTTACACTATCTTCATTTTTTGGATTCTTTTTTCATTTTGCTGTTCTGATTGGGCATTTTTTGCTTCCTTATATTCCAAATCGATGGTTTGCTTCTTGGATTTACGTACTCTACTATTGAATCTGTGTAAATTATTCTTCATTTTAGTTAGTGCCTCCTTCATTTCTGACTGTGCATCCTTCATTTCTGACTGGTCCTTTTTTATGCTCTTGAGGCCCTCACTAAGTTCACTGAGGTTCTCACTAAGTTCATTGAGCATCCTTATAAGCAGTATTTTGAACTCAGCACCTGCTAGGTTGCTTATCTCCATTTTGCTTAGTTCTTTTCCTGGAGTTTTGTTCTGTTCTTTCATTTGGGACCTGTTTCTTTGTCTCCTCATTTTGGCTGCCTCCCTGTGTTTGTTTCTGTGTATTACTTAACGAGAGGTAAGGGACTATCTGAGACCAGATGCTGCTTGTTTGAAAGAATTTAGGAAAACCTGAATCAGGATCCAAGACAGGCCAATCCTATAGTGAACCAACTGTCAACAGCTTGGGTGGGCCTGAAAGTTGGGTGGGGCGGGGCCTCAGGGAGTCAGCAGGGCGGGGCTACCAGTGTGAACCAGGTTGCTGGAGTCCCAGATATGGCGACTGTCTGCTGCCCCAGGGAAGGGCTCACCAAAGGAACAAAGGCCTCTGACAGCACGTCTGTCCCCGAGGAAGCCCCCTCTCCAGCCCTCGCTCCAGTGCCAAACAGCTCAGTTCTTCCCTGTGTGTCTCTGGCGCCCCTCGAGCTGCCTCCCCTCCAAGCTTAGAGGGAGAGAGTCCGACAAGTCCGTGCGCGGGCCCTTTAAGGAGCTGCCTGGGGCTCCAGCCGCCTCAGCCTCTCTGAGCCTCAGTTCCTGCTGGTTTTTCCAGCCAGAAGTGATGGGGATTCTCTTCCTGGCACTGGAACCCTGAGCGGGGCACCTGGTGTGAGACGGGGACCCCTCAGTCCTCAGGAAGGACCTTCCCAGCCGAGGTGTCCTCCTGATTTGTATCCGCCACACGTGGGTGTGGGACCAGCCCGTCCCCTCCGCCCTCCTACTAGTCTGGATGTAGCTGCTGCTTTGTTTTTATTTTGTTTTTTATCCTCACCCAAGGACATTTTTAAATTTTTTTTTTCAGGTAGAGTTGGAGGGGGAGAGAGGAAGAGAGAGAGAAACATCAACGTGAAAGGGACACATCGAGTGGCTGCCACCCACACGACCCAACCAGGGCTGGGGACAAACTGCAACTGAGGTACGTGCCCTTAGCGGGAACCGAACCCGGGTCTCTCAGGACCGCAGGCCGATGCTCTAACTGCTGAGCTAAACCAGCCAGGGCGTGGCTGCTGCTTTAATTCCGTAGTTGTAGGACGTCCATTCAGCTCGATGTCAGGCGGTTTTGAATGATGGTTGTTCTGTAGTTTAGGTGTAACTTTGATGTGGTTGTGGGAGGATGGTACCGTGTTTACCTACCCGCTGTCTTGACCAGAAGTCTAACAGGTGTTTTTATAAAATGAATTTTCAAGATGCTCCATTTATGTCTCTTCGGACCATTCTAAATTATGGTACATAGAAGTAGGTGCACAGGTAACTTTCCCTATGCCCTTCATGTTTTTATGAACCTAATAGTACATACTACATTCTTTAAAATTGTTATTCTTCATGTGGTAGTTTCTTTCCCTCTACTTTTATTTCCCCCACCCACTAGTGACTAGTCATTTCTGCTCCTTTCTCCAGCCCCGCCAGTGTTTGTGTCTCTTCGTGAGAAAATGAATATTGACAGATAGGCCTTACTGTCCCTCCGGCAGTGATGTTTCTACGAGAAGGCTGGTCTGTTATTGAGAAGAGTATTAAGGAGACACCCCTACTGAATACTTTTTCGTGTTTAGTTAGGAATCTGAGGGTTTACTGTTACTCAAAATCACGGTCCCTTCTACCAGACTTGAAAACCACCTAGTACTAGATGTGAATGGAATGTACTGTGTGTTAGTCAATGATTTGTTTTATTAACTCTTTCCAGAAGTTCACAGATCAAAGGCTTATATGTCAAATTTCCTTTTTTCCTAGCCCTGATATTATATCTCTTTTCTTTAAAAGAGAAAAAATTTTAAAATTTATTGATCTGTTGTTCCACCCATTTACGCGTTCATTCAGTGGTGGCTTCTGGTCTGTGCCGGAGCGGAGAGCAAACCTGCAACCTCGGTGAATAGGGACGATGCTCTACCCCACTGAGCTGCCCCGCCAGGGCAGGGATCCTTCTCGTGTTTGGACACCTAAGTGGACCTGACATAGCCTGGACAACGTAATCACTTCCCGAAGGGATGGGAAGGACTTTAGATTTTCCAGTGGAATGAGGATGTCACCCCGAGTCCTTGAAAGCAGATGCAGGTGTCCCTGCCTGGCTGATGTTGTCGTCTTCCCTGGATGTCATTTGCAGGACTTGCGCAGTGCTGTAGGGGCCCGCGAAGCCCTCGAGCAGGACGTCGGAGCCCTGCGGGAGGCCTGGCAGCGGGAGCTGGGCGTCCTGCGGGAGCAGTCGTGCGGGCTGGAGACCCGGCTGAAGGCCAGTTTGCACGCGGCGGAGGCCGCGCGGGGCCAGCACGCCACGTTCAGGGGGCGCCTGGCGGCCCTGCTCGGCGCCAGCGTGGGCATGGCTGGGCCCACAGAGGAGGCCATTCTGGAGGAGATTCGAGAAATGAGCAGCCGGGAAGAAAGCCAGAAAAGGGTGAGTGGGCGAGGGCTTCTTATCGGCCTGCGAGGGACAGGAAACCCACTCCTGTAGCACACTCAGTGCAGGAGCTACGTGAGTTAGTTAAACGTATCATTTCAGGTGGTTTTCTCCCTTCGGTGACATATCACACAAAGCCCGGAGTCGCTCACAGGACCGCAGACTACATTGGGGTCTGGAGTCAAACCCCCAGGCTCGCCCTGTCTGTGCGCACACTCACTCACTCCAGGTGCCGCCTCGGGCGGGTCCCCGGCGTCATGGCCTCTGGGATTTTGTTTACTCACCTTCCGTCCAGGGACAGTCCACAGTCCACACTCTTATCTGAAGCCCCTGGGATCCAGTACGTTTTCAAATGCAGAATTTTTCAGAGTTTAGAAATGCAATAGAGAAAGCAGCCTGACACATTCCTCCTTGGTGGGGCCAGGGACAGACCCCTACTCTGCCACATTCATTGTTCCAAACCTGTGATGATACGAAGTCCCACGTCACTTCCGGTCAGGGCTTGCCCCCAAATCCTATCAGGCCAAGCTTTGTTGGTAAATGAGGTACCAAAACACCTGTCAGTTTTCAGCTCCTTTTGGATTTTGGAATTACAGGTAAGGATTTCTAGACCTGTAACAGTATTTGCCTCAAAAGGTTTTTGTTTATTGTAAGCATTTAATGAGAAACAAATTGTTATTCAGTCCTTCACACACTGTCTGACAAGTAGCCACAATAAATATTAACTATTGCTGCCCTGGCTTCTCCTCTCTCTTCCCTCCTTCTCTCCCTCCCTCCTTCTCTCCTCCTTTTGCTAATGAGTTGGTGCCTAGAACAGTCTTCCAGGGGACCTACTTAATAAGTGGAGAAAAATGATTTACTTCACACATGGGGCCGAAGCGTGTTTGATTTTGTTATCTTGTTTATACTCTTACTAGGTCTCATGTTCTATAAGCTTTGCTCAGTCAAGTCATCTTCAGCCCAACTCTGTTATCATCAAATGCAAATCACTGAAGTTCTAATCAGTGAGGTTTAAAGTGAGTAATATCCACATTCTGCGTGTAATTCCACTAGGCACTCTTTCTTCTATTGAGTTCGTGTTTGGTCAAAAGGAGAAGGTGCACATGTCCATCTTTTATGTTCCTAAAAATCTTACAGTGACCGCTAACTCAAAGTTCAGGGGTGTGTCTGTGCATTTCCGTTAACAATATAGCATTTTAAACTCCCTTTTGAAGATTCTCCAACATTCACACGTGCTCTGGGAGCAACCCTAGCGACCCTTTTGGCCCATATGTGATGCACTTTGTGGACATGACATGTTCATCTTTGTAAGATGTGTGGGTCTCCAGGAGTAACTCGGGTTTTCTTGTGATTCAACACACAGGTAGGGACTAGATCGGGGACGGACATGATTTACAGAGCAGAAAAACTTCATTAGGCTCTTTACCTTGAATACTAATAGATGTGCTTCAATAGCTAAGGGTTCTTTGGCGTTTCGTTTTATTGCTCCCCTCTCCTATTTTTCCAAATGTTCTTCTGAAACTGCTTTAATTCCGGCATGTGAAACATGGCATAAAATTGTCAGTATGATGAACTAAACAAACTGCTGAACAAAATTAACCCAGAGACATAGAGGTGGGGTACAGACTGACAAGCCTCAGAGAAGGGGGGGATTGGGGAGGAAGAGATAAACCACAGAACTTACAGGCATGTATGCATGACCAATGAACATAGACAACAAAGCTGGGGATGGGGTGGGGGGGGGGAAGGGGAGGAGGGTGTCAATGGGGAGAAAAGGAGAAACATCTGTAACAAAAACAAATCAATGAAAAAATTAATTAATTAAACAAATTGTCAGCATGATGTATATGTTTATTTTCTAAAGCAAAATGCCGTAAATCGGTTAAGCTGGATGGCCTTCCCCCACTTCCCATAAAAATTAGAATGAGTCAGAGTCTTTTTAGTGCCTTTCTTACCCTGTAATTTTTTTTAATACCTGCTCTTCCTATTTAAAAGCCTGAAATCAAGCATATAGCTAGCCTCTTGTGTGACTCATCTTCAAGTAAAATCAGGAGAAAATGAATTTCGTATATTGTCTTAGAAATGTTTCTGAAGAATGGGAACTTTACAAATTGATGTCTGTTGAGGGGGCGGCACACCCCTGCCAGCTGCCGTGGTTAAACACACACTCAAAAATTGAGTAATACCCACGAGGCGGCCCAGCAGTGGGTTTAGCTGGGCCTGGCAAAGTCTCCACTTCACGGAGACTCCTACTTACTGAACATGGCTTTTCTCGTTTACCCCTTGCTGTTCCTTTGCACTCTCCTGTAACTGCATTTCTCAGTACAATTCAGGACACTACCCACATTTTTCCTTTCCTTTTTTAAAAATTGATTTATATATATATATATATATATATATATATATATATAGAGAGAGAGAGAGAGAGAGAGAGAGAGAGAGAGAGAGAGAGAGAGAGAAATGTCCATGTGAAAGAGAAACACCCATCAGTGCGCCCCCTGCTGGGGATGGAGCCCACACCCCTGGGCATGTGCCTGACCGGGAATCAAACTGGGACCTCTCAGTCCGCTGAGCCACACCGGCCCAGCCATCCACACTTTTTCAACAAGCCATTTTTATATATTCCTTGCTTTTGTGCTTATTGCAAACTCTAGCATTCTTTTTTTTTTTTTTTTATCCTCACCCGAGGATATTTTTCCATTTTTTGGACAGATAGAGTGGGAGGGAGAGAGAGGAAGGGAGAGAGAGTGAGAAACATCGACATGAAGGGACACATCGAGTGGCTGCCACCCGCACAACCAACCAGGGCCAGGGACAAACTGCAACGGAAGTACGTGCCCTTAGCGGGAACCGAACCCCGGTCTCTCCGGACCGCAGGCCGACGCTCTAACCGCTCAGCCAAACCGGCCAGGGCTCTAGCATTCTTTTTTGAAAGCTTTACTGTAACTTAGCGCAGTTTCTCAGCCTTGCCAGGTTGACGTTTCCTACGGGGTGATCATTTGTTTTGGGGCCGTTTTGTGTGTTGTAGGGTGGTCAGCAGCAGCCCTGGCCTTCTACCCACCAGGTACCTGCTGCGTTCCTTTCCTCTCTGACTGTGACCACCAAACACATGTCCGGACATTGCCATATGTCCCCGGGGGTGCAATTACCGCCGGTTGAAAGCCACTCTTTTAAAGAAATGTTCTACTGTCAGGTTCCAGTCATTCAGAATGAGCATGTAGATGTTATTTGGCCTTGAAATTTCAGGACACTTGTAACAGGTGTTTTTGAAATGACTTCTTACACAATGACAGAAAGTTGCGACATGTTCAGATTTTCGTTTAGAATTTTGAGGCCAAAATTGTGTCTCACTTTTAGATGTTGCTGAATCATCCAGATCATCACTGGCTAATCATTTGGATGAGAATCGATTATGTACAGGGAGGACATGACTGTGATTGATTTCTATGTATTTCCTAAATTAAAGACAACTTAGGGCAGGCTCACGAACATTTATTGACGCTGAAGCTCCTTTGTCCTGTTTTCTGTACACATAAGGTTTTATTTTCCTCCATTGGCATGTTTCTTGGTCTGGCAGCTCTGTGGGAGCTGTGGGGACCCAGCCTGATGCCCCAAAAGACCTGAGGTGTGCTCTACAAATTGCCCCTCCCCCTTTTGCCCTGTTCTTAACCTTTCAGCTTACTAAGCCAAACATTTACCAAGAAGCTTCAACAGACTCCCACTTACCTTTCATTGTCCAAAATTCTGTGACACAGTCAACCTGGCTTCAAGGGCTTTGGGAAGAGAACAGATAGGGAATTGGGCTCCCCTAGCCCCTAAGGCATATTCATTTCCTAGGACGGCCATAACTAAGTACCACCAACGGGGGGTTTAGAAATAGAAATGTCTGTCTCTCCATCCTGGTATGAGAAGCCCACAACCAAGCTGTCAGCAGGACTGGTTTCTTCTGAGGGCCATGAGGGAGAATCTGTCCCTTGCCTCTCTCCAGCGTCTGGTGGCCTCAGGCTACCACTTGGCTTGTGGATGTCTTCTCTCCATGTCTTCACTCTGCTGTCCTTTTCTTTTCTTTCTTTCTTTTTTTTTTATCCTCACCTGAGGACATTTTTCCATTTTTTGTTCAGGTAGAGTGGGAGGGGGAGAGAGGAAGAGAGAGAGAAACATCGATGTGAAGGGACACATCGAGTGGCTGCCACCCGCACGACCAACCAGGGCCGGGGACAAACTGCAACCGAGGTACATGCCCTTAGCGGGAACCGAACCTGGGTCTCTCTGGGACAAACTGCAACCGAGGTACATGCCCTTAGCGGGAACCGAACCTGGGTCTCTCTGGACCGCAGGCCGACGCTCTAACCGCTGAGCCAAATCGGCTAGGGCTGCTGTCCTTTTCTTTGTGTGTGTCTCTGTGTCCAAATTTCTGCTTTCAATAGGGACACAAGTCATATCGGATCAGGGCCCCCCATGATGGCCTCATTTTAACTTGATTATCGCAGTCAAGACTCCATTTCCAAATAAAATCCCATTCCGAGGTATTGGGGGACGTCACCATATCTATTTTGGGGGGACCTAATTCAACCCGTAACAGAAGTTGACATGCATGAAGGTGGAGAGGGTCAGGTTGCCAGTCAATGGTGTTGGGCACAGATACACAAGAAGGAAGGAGAATCTGATCGCTGTGTCACCTGGTTGCTGAAAATGTATTTTATATATTTCTTAAGTGAAAATTGTAACTCCAATAAGCAGAAAAGAGTTAAGTCCAAAAGGCACCGGCCCTTAAGTGACCCAAGTGGCACTTTCTTCCCTTTAGAGCTCTTCTCTCTCCATTTGGCTCCAACCTAGTGTGAAAGAGCCTCTGGTGGAATCAAAACTGCTTGTCCTTGGGAAGCGAGTGGGTCCTCTCAGGGCATCATGACTTCACTTCCAAAATCCAAGCTGGTGTTTGAAGTGGCATTTACTCCAGTGCCTGTTTTTGTTTAAAAACATTTAGGGTACATATTTCT